GTAGCTAAGATTACAGGTGTTGAGCCACCCGGTGCTCAGCTCCATCGGCAGATTTTATTCTGAGCGCTAGGATTCCTTTGTAGCCAAATCAGTCCTCAAATTTCACCTCAAGGAGGAGTCCTCAAAAAGGCCACGTCCCAAGCAGGCAACCAGTACCCCAAACCTCAGGCTCAGCCCACTGTCCCTACTGACTGCAGAATCTGGACTGAGGCAGTCTCCATGGGAGGCGGTGGCCAGGATGTCAGATTACAAGACCCTGGGTGCCTGCCACTCTATGATTCTCATGGCACTGTCCTCACCAGACCCATCTGCCCTGGGCTTCCCACCCGGCTCACTGTGTGCTGCAAGGAGTATGAATAAGAACAGGTATTTGTGCTGGTGGTAGTGAGGCTCCTGCCAGCGGGAGTCTTGGTTGAGCCCAGCTCTAGGGAGCCTGCATGTCATCCATGACCTCTTTTCTTTCACTAGTTTGTGGGCTTTCCATCAAACCCGAGAGCGCCCTGGCTTCTTTCAGAAGGCCAGAGTACCTCACTAGGATCATTCCCATCATTTTCATGGTTCACGTTCTTAGCCTTCCAGGAGAACTGTGACTTTGTGTATTTTAAAGGAAACTTTTAGACTCTACTAACTCCCTTCCCATCCCTCCCTCCCTCCCTCCCTCCCTCCCTCCCTCCCTCCCTTCCTCTCTCCCTCCCTCCCTACCTCTCTCCCTCCATCCCTTCTTTCCTTCCTTTTTTCAAGTAACCTCACTGTTGTAGCCCAGCCTGGCCTCAAACTCAAGATCCTCCTGCCTTTGCCTTCAGTTTGTCAGGATTACAGTCCTGTACCACCGAACCTGACTGTAGTAACTTTCATTTATTCTCCTTACCCAGAAAGTCTATTTGCAAAAAGGTTTTCCTGTTATATTAAACTTTTTTTTGGGGGGGGGGTCCGGTCATGGGGCCTGAACTCTGGGCCTGGGCGCTGTCCCTCAGCTCTTCAGCTCAAGGCTAGCACTCTACCTCTTGAGCCACAGAGCCACTTCTGGCTTTTTTCATTTTTGCTTATGTGATGCTGAGGAATTGAACCCAGGGCCTCAGGCATGCTAGGCAAGCACTCTACCACTGAGCCATCTTCCCAGCCCATGTTATATTAAACTATTATACAAATGTTCAAATATAAATATTTGTAAATGAGTCACTACACCATAATTTATAATTATATAGTTTATAACTGAAAAAATGGGAAACAGTAAATAGCCTCCAACAAAAGAAAGGTTAACTGACTATGACAAAATGATGCTTTAAATTATAAACAGTTCTCAAAACATGTAAATGAATATCTGCTGACATATAAGTTTGTTTACAATGTACTGTTAACTGAAAAACTAAAAATTACAAACTGGTGGTGGTATTTTATTTTTTGTCAGCCGTGGGGCCTGAACTCTGGACCTGGGCACTGTCCCTCAGCTCTTCAGCGCAAGGCTAGTGCTTTACCACTTGAACCACAACGCCACTTCTGGCTTTTTCTGCTTATGTGGTGCTGAGGAATCAAACCCAGGGCCTCATGCATGTGAGGCAAGCTCTCTACCACAGAACCACCTTCCCAGCCCCGTATTTTAAAAATAACTATAGCTGGGCCCCTGTGGCTCATGTCTATAATCCTAGCTACTCAGGAGGCTGAGATCTGAGGATCCCAGTTCAAAGCCAGCCAAGCAGACAAATCTGAGAGGTTCCAGTTAACCAACAAGAAGCCAAAAATGGACGTGTGGCTCAAGTGGTAGAGTGTCCACCTTGAGCAAAAAAGCCAAGCAAGAGTGCAAGGCCTTGAGTTCAAGCCCCAGTTGCCTGTACCAAAAATAAAAAAAAATACTACACTAGATCCAAAATAAAAATATTAGTGTAGTTATAAGGAGAGAAAATCCTAAACTATTAACAGGAGAAAGCAGAATTTCTTTTTTTTTGTTTGTTTGTTTGTTTTTATTGTAAAGATACTATACAGAGGGTTACAGTTACATGAGTGAGGTAATGAGTATACTTCCTCTTGAACATTGTTACCCCCTCCATTGAGAAAGCAGAATTTCTATATGATAAATTCCTACATGTGGACTGGCTGAGTATGTTACTGTGGTCTAAAATACAAAACATACAAAAAAGGGGAGTTTTTTCCTCTTTGCATTATATATTCTAGCAATGATTCCTTGCATTTGCACTTGGCTTTTTCACTCAAGGCGAGATCTCTATCACTTGAACCACACCTAAACTTCTGGTTTTTTGCTGATTACTTAGACATAAGAGTCTCATGGACTTTCCTGCCCAAGCCTCTTGAGTAGCTAGGATTACCGGCATCATGGATGCTCAGTTTAGCAATGGATTCTTAAATCACAGTAGTGTATTATTCAAACATTAAAAAAAAATAAACTTAGTTATAAAAGTAGGTGACACACCAAGTAGTGCCAGGGGCTCACACTTGTAATCCCAGCTACTTGAGAGACAGAGAAAGAGATTACAATTTGAGGCCAGCCAGGCAGAAAAGCTTACAGAACCCCCTTCTCAACCAATATCTGGGCATGGCAGTGCTCACATGCCTATACTTATGGAGCCTGAAGTTGGGAAACTCATGGTTTCATGGCAGCCTGCAGCAGCAAAGTCAGAGGTACTCTGTCTCCATGGAGGGAGCTTGGCCCAGTGTAGTTGTCCCAGCTAGGATAGAAAGGCAAAAATAGGCAGCTCGGAGACCAGCTGCATAGCTATTTCAAAATAACTAGCACATAGAAGGGCTAGGTGTGGCTCAGCAGTAAAATGCCCGTCTAGTAGGTGCCAGGCTCTAAGTTCAAACCCCAGTACTGCCAAAAATAAAAGTTAAATAAAAAGCTGGACAATAAACTCAAATAAAAGAGGCCTTGTGCAGACAGAGAAGGGACCTGGGGAGGGGAGGGGATTGGGAGGGCTCTCCTTCACTTCAGGTCAGGGCCCTTTCCCTCTTTTTCCAGGAACAAGAGCCTCTGGGTAGCAATGGAGTGGTGGGAGAATTGTATCATCTAAGTGGCTCATATGTCTGGGAGGAAAATTCTGGCTCACCTATTTTCCCTGGGCTGGCCCATGAAGAGAGATCGGGAGCTCACAGAGACTGACCAGGGTTACCCAAAACTCTCCCCCAAGGTATTCTTTATTGTTCTTACCTAGCCCTGAGATCCATTTGGTTCTTTTCTCTCCATCAAGCCCTTGCTGATTCTTTCTCTCAGGGACAGACAACACCAGTTGGGAGACAGAAGTTCAATCCCAAGCTTCTCTGCTCCTTGGCCCTTTCCCTCCCTGGGTGCCATCCATGCCACATCGTCCAGATGGTCTGGAGAAAGTCACTTTGGAATCTCCTTTCTTATCTGTTTTATGTACTCAGTTCACAGGATTCAGAGGAGGGGGAAATGAGGGAGAGAGGGAGGGGGAGGGAGGGGGGGGGAGGGAGGGTGTCCTGTTATCAGGCAGCCCTGGTATGGTGATTGTTCAGTATAAGGCAGCAGGCATTCCAACACTCTTTATCCCTGTGGCTTTGTTAGCTCCATTTGCTATGGGGAAGCTGAGGTCTGATGGGGTGAAATCCACCCAACGTCTCCTAAGGAGCAGGCTGAGATGGGCCATGGAGGATCCTGACCACACAAAGGTTTTTACCCAAGAGCCCAGACAATCTGCAATGTGGATTGTTGATTGTCTTTGCAGAGCAGTGTAGGGTATTGGAGAAAAGGCAGAGAATAAAGGTATTGCCTTATTCAACTCGGTACATCAGAAGAGAAGGGGTAACAGCCTAGGGGTGTGCCCCAGAGCCTGAACCCTTGGAGGGTGGGCTGTACGTGGCCAACTCATACTGCCAGTGGGGTTTTCCCTGACATGGCTCAGCTGCCCCTGAGTTGGCTGTTGAGCCTGTGAGTCAGAGCTACCCTTGAGCTCCAATCCTCTCCTTATTTGTAGCCCCCATTTCAGGCTAGACAGCCTGGGGAGACCTGTGGCTCCAAAACAAGGTTTTGCTCACAGGCAAACAGATATGACCTTCTTTCAGCTCAGAGAGAGCAAGGGCGGGCCAGAGGACACAGGAAGTAAGTGATAGGCCTCAGGCCTGAAACCTGCTCCTGCCACAAGTGAACCTCTCAAAGAGCCCAGCGGGGAGCCCCCCCCCCCCGCCCTGAATGCAGGACCCTTGTACTCTGTCCCCTGCCCTAGCAGCTCTACCACACCTAGTCTTGTGCTGCTGCCCAGGACCCAGAGGCTTAGACATAAAGTAGCCTATGGCTAGTACCCAGCAGGCTGGCAGGAGCCAAGATGCCCACTTCATGCCAGTCCTACAACCCCTAAGTGGCCATAGCAATGAGGGTCTGCACACATCTGTCCAGCCTGGCTGGACTCTGCTGTCAGAGCCACAGTCTTTCCCCATTCCCTCCCTTGGCCCTGCCCAACGGTACTTCCCTCCCCTTCCTATGTCCCTCCTTCTTCTCTTCTTCCCCCTCCCATTCTTCTCACTTCTTCCTCTCTGGTACTCTTGGGTGCCCTGTCAGCCCTCAACCATTTCTTACCTGGACTGCAATCTGGGCTCAGGCAGGCACCTCTTACCAGCCTCCCCAACCTTGGAGAGACCACGGGCAGAGTGGAAGGCAGGGCAGGGAGAGTGCCCCAGCTTAGAAGCTAAAGCCAAAGCACATGGCAGGGTGGTAGGGGTGGCAGGAGGGACTTAACTCCCCAGCACCAGAAACTCTGAACAATCTTGCTGGCCCATGTTTCTGTCCACAGCAGGCCAGGCCCTGTGCAGCCGGAAAAGGCAAGAAAACCCCGCCCCACACCTGGAAATCCAACTCCAAGGGCTAGGTCACCAGGCCACCAGGCAAAGGCCAGGAAATGAAAACCCTCTTTACAGATGAGGGAAATGAGACTCTGAGCTAAAGGGATTGATCAGAGACCTACCTATGTCGGAGACAAGCTCTGTCTGCCCCAACCCACACCTACGAACCCAAACCCACAGACACCAGCAGAGTCTACAAGGGAGAAGCACCAAGTTTAATACTAAAATCTTTCCCTTAACAAAAAGTAAATACACAGATAGGAAAACTTAGCATACAAAATAGTACTTCTGATATATAAATGTGAGTTAATGTGAGTTCTAAAAATACTCGTAAACCTAGTGATTATATCTTTGGTACCGTAGTGAGAACCCACATCTCCCCAACCAGGCTCTAGGACCCTGGGAGGGAAGACACCAGCCAGTGTGGGGTGGGGTACTCAGAAGGTTGTTTTTCTTCCTTCCTCTTTCCTGCCCTCCCCTCCCGGTGGTCTCAGCTGAAGCCCTCCACCGCGCTCCAAACCCCAACACTCACTGCTTTAAAGATATCGTGTGTCACTGTCAGACCTGGGAAATGACAAAACCAAACTCATGCGGGGGCTGTCTCAGGACGAGCAAACCACAGTTACGCTGGCAACCCTGAAGCGCTTGCCTATCATACCCCTATTCTGGGGTGCCCATCCTGAGCCTCTCATCCTTTATAGGACATAGTTGTCCTCACTGTGCAGTGTCCATGAGGGACATACCTTGGTGGCAGGTGCTGGCATGGCATGCTATGTAAGGTGACCTTTGCCCCTGCCCTGGAGAGCTGCTGAGTCCATCATGGTGCTAGAAGTGGTCTTGTGGTTCTCCCATGGCCTAGGCAGCTGCTGGGGCTTTCCAGGACATTGACTGTCACGCCAAGTCAGGTCCAAGCAGCTGCACTGGGGGCTTGGGGTAGGAGCATAGTTCCTGAATCCCCAAAGCGTGATATGTGTCTGGAGTCTCCCTACAACTTAGCTGAGCCCTAGAAAGTGGCTTAAGGGACTCGGGCCTTGCTTCATCTGGACAAGTGTGCAACCCTCTGGAATATTCTAGAATATTAGTGATGGCAGGGCATGCAGAGTTAATGGATCCAACTTGCTTATTTTTCACAGGGGAACACTGAGGCCCGGAGAAGGTGGGGCTCCTCCGAGGTCTCACAGCAGGTCCAGTGCAGAGTCGAGGCCACCTGTTGGTGCACACGCCACACTGTCCTGTCCACCTCAACATCACAGCTGCGGGCCCACCTGGGCCCACAGACTTGGGTGGGCAGTGGCTGAGGATGAGGAGGAAAAGGCCCGGGTCAGACGGCTCTGAAAGATCTCATCACTTCTGGCACCCACATGTGTCCCAAACATACCGTGGGAAGGCGCTACAGGCCGGAATGTTCAGTGCTCAACTTCCCCCTCAGCACTAATTAACTGCTAATTAAGCATGGCTGGCCCCAGACCAGCTCGGGCCTGGGAGAGCAGAGACTGGCACCAGTAGGAGGTGGCTTCCAGATGAAGTGGCACTTCCCAAGGCTGGCGCAGCTCAGCCAGGAGCCAGGGTTGCTAGGGTCCTGTCCTAGCTCTCTCTCAAAGTGTGTTTGGGAAGGGGGCCAGGGCAAAGCTTCCACACCTGTCAGCCAGGGGGAATCCCAGGCTGTGGATCACCAAGTCCAATTTCTCATCTTATGTTTGGGGAGCCGAGTCCCCTGGGAGCACCACAGTGGGGTCACCTAGGCTCCCTGAGGCACAGTCTGGACATGGCTTCTTGCAGTTCTCTTGCCTCTACACCAGCCCCAGGGCAGGGGGGAGGGGGGTGCTGCACAGCAGGGACTGTTGGCAGCAGCACGGCTGATGGGCAGCTAGGCCAGCCAGCAGGGCTGGGTGCTGGAAGGCAGGCGGGGAGGGAGGGGCCGGCCCTACAGAAAGCTGTCCTCCACTTCAGCCCGCAGCTCCGGGCAGCCTGAGTCCGGCGGCTGTGGTAGTTCTGGCTGGGGCTCCATTGCCTGGGGCTCTGGCTCTGGTTCTTCCTGGAGGTCCAGGGGGCTGTCACAGGAAATGGTGGAGGAAGTGTTGGCTTCGTTCAGGGTGGAGCTAGCGGAAAGAGGCAGGTGAGTGAGGGACTGAGGGAAGAACAGCAGGAACTAATAGCTTCAGGTTCCACTTCACACACACCCACTCTTATAAACCTCATAAAGCCTGCACAAGAGGAAAACACGGCTCAAAAGGGTTATATCACTGCCACACAGCAAACAGCAGGTGTCATGCAAGAACTAGGATTTCAGCTGATCCACTTGGCTCCAAAGCAGTGTCTCTATCTTTTGCTTTCTGAGATGTGTTACCTCCCTTCATCTTCACACCAAGCCTCTAGGGGAAGTACTTTCACTCACTCACTTTACACAAGAGTCAATCCTCACCGCAACTCCCGCACTTCTGCAGTGCATCGAGTTTACAGACACATGCACACACTATGTACCCTAGGCCCAGGGCTCTGGGCCAGGGCCAGGGCAGCTACCTGGCAAGGCTGGGGGAGCCCTCCATCGGGCCCTCGTCGGCAGCTTCCGGCTTGGGGTCAGGTAGAGGGATGATGTAGTCATTGTCACCCTCATTGGGCTGCACAGCAGTGTAGAGCACAGAACTGGTGTCCAGGGGAGATCGGAGGCCATGGAAGCCAGGAAAGCGGGCTTGGGACCGGAGAATGGCTGGATGGTCGCTCCGCAGAAACTCCTCATCCACCTGCTGGTACTTCTGCTCCACAGGGTGAGGAGCATCAGAGAAATGGATGGTCAGGTGGGCAGTGCCTTGGGATTGTTTAACCCAACCCCTCCCTGTCTGTGCTAAGGCAGATCCTGCTCAGAGAATCTGTGGTTTTACTCAAAGCCACACAGCCCATCTGCTCTTCTACTGTCTCCCAAAACAGGTGAGTTTGGGAACCACACAGGGAGGGGTCCTCGGGTGAACAGCGCCATGACACTAACACGTACAGGACTTTAGACACCAGTTCTCCTTGTGCTTCAGCCTAATCTGGTGGGCCTTCAGTGTCCCTTGCTGGAGAGGGTCATGAGTCCATTTTGTCCCACCTGCTCTGGGAGCATGTGGGGTGAGAAGTGGAGCTAATAAAGCCAGAAGCCCTTTTGACTTTATTAGCTCTGCAGAGCCTGAACTGGCTCCAAAGGGCTCAGTCTTAGAGGTCATGTAGCCAGGGTTTTTCACATTTTCAAAGGAGCTCTGGATGCTGGCATTTGTGCAGTCTAAAGACAAAAGCTGTGTGTAGTGGCTCATGCTTGTAATCCATGCTATTCGGAAGGCAGAAGCAAAATAATCTCAAATTTAAGGACAGCCCAGGAACATTAGCAAGACTCTATCTTAAAAGCAAAATTCCAACAAAAGGGTTGGAGATATGGCTCAAGTGGTGGAACAAAAATCTATAAAAATAAAATAAAAGTCTGAGGACTGGCAGGGTTTCAGGCTCTACCCTCCATGTAGCAAATCAACTAGCCTTCATATCTTGTGAGTGTGTGTATGTGTGTGTGTCTGTCATCTGTTTGCTTGTGTATGTGCACGCACACGTTCACCCCAATACTGGAGTTTAAACCCAGGGTCTCAAATTCTTAGTCATTTCGACTCAGAGATGGGGGGGGGGGACAATTCTGGAAAGATTTTTGCTAGTTAATTGGAGACAAGTGTCTTGGAGATTTGTCTGCCCTGGCTGGCTTGCAACTGTGATCCTCAGATCTCAGCCTTCTGAATTGCCAGGATTCTAGGTATGAGTCATGGGCACTTGGCTTGACCTTCATGTCTTTGTGCTGCTGAAATAAACTCATGGCTCTGGTCCATTCCTTTCTAGTACCTGCAGAGACCCAGAGTAGGTGACAGTCTTTCTTCCAAATACCAGCTTATCACCTCTGGGTTTGACTTCTAGACCAGAACTGTCTATTCATCACTGCAACCTGCCTCGACATACCTTTTTGTAACCCTCTCCCAGAAGTCTCTCGAGAAGCAACACCAGCTGGGAGAAGGGGGGCCGGATCTCAAACTTCTCTTCCCAACACTTCTGCATGATCTCGTAGCTGAGGGACGACAGAGGGTCAGAGTTTCTGGCTCAAGACGGGGAGAGGGCAGGGGGCAGTGGGTGGGCTGGGGAAATTAGAGGCAGTGGCCTCCTGGAGCAAGGCATGAAAGGGAAAGGAGTTGGAGAGCAGGGGCTGGCATTGCTTCTCCCAGCACTGCCTCTGGCAGCTCCCTGGGGAACCTCCCCTGACCCCCCCCCGGCCTGTCCCTGTGGTTCTGTGCGGTGTGCCACACCTTGGTTAGCACATGCCCTGGGGGGTGGCTGATTGGGGCTTCCATCCCCATTGTAAGCCATAAGGCTGGCCTCACCAGCTGGGAAACAAAGCACATACAAAGAAAGCAGAGCCCAGGACTAAGGTAAGAGACCCTGATGACTACATTTAAATACCTAGACCCCATGATATCTGGATTTTTGAGATCTCTGGCTAAGCAATCTCTCTCTGGTATAAGCCAAGTAGGGCTGCATATCCATTGTTTGTATCCACAAATAATCCTCCCAAATGCATGAGGTTCTACTCACATCTCGTCAGAGGCATGTGCAGGCTGAGCCATGCGGTAGCCTCGCTTGATGGCATTGTAGAATTGCTCGTTCATGGGCAGCTCGGGGTAAGGGGTGCCACCTGTTGGGGAGCATACAAGAATGAACGGGCTCAGGGTCACTCGCTAAAGGATGAGGAATGCCACACAGATTCAGTTGGATGTGAGTAAGCTCTTGGCATTGGGAAATGTGGGCTCCTTCCTGGGCACTGGACAGAGATAGTGACACTCTCCAGAGAATTACAGAGCATGAGAGAGAGAGAGAGAGAGAGAGAGAGGGAGGGAGGAGAGAATATGTGTGTACATGCACGTGTACACACGCACGCATGCACGCACACACACGCACACACACGAGTTCTGGGCTTGAATTCGTGGCCTGGGTACTGTCTCTTAGGGCTTTCTTTTTTCCCTCAAGGCTAGTTCTTTACCATTTGAGCAATAGCTCTACTTCTGGCTTTTTGGTGGTTAATCCTAGATAAGAGTCTCATGGAGCTGGGTGCCAGTGGCTCATGCCTGTAATCCTAGCTACTCAGGAGGCTGAGATCTGAAGATCACAGTTTGAAGCCAGCCTGGGCAGGAAAGTCCATGAGATTCTTCTCTCAATTGACCACCCAGAGTTCAAGCCCCGTGACTGACATTTAAAAAAAAGAAAGAAAAAAAGGTTTCATGGACTTTTTCTGCCCTGGCTGGCTTCAAACTATGGTCCTCAGATCTTAGCCTACTGAGGAGCTAGGATTGTAGCTGGCAAGAGTCACTAGTGCCAGGCTCAAGAAGACTTTTGGATGCTACTATCCAAACTCCTCAACAGACTGGCTCTAGTTCCTGATCTGTGTCCAGCACCCATCCCCCAGTCCCACAGGCCAGGTGTGAGCTCAGGAGCATGGACGCCCCACCATGCTGCCTGGAGCCTGGGAGACGCAGCATACCCAGTGTGAAGATCTCCCACAGCAGGATCCCGAACGACCACACGTCACTCAGGGTGGTGTAGAGGCTGTTGAAGATGCTCTCCGGCGCCATCCACTTGAGAGGCAGGAAGGTCTGTGGGGCAGGATGGGTGCTGAGTACACAGAAGGGCTGGGGGTCTTGAAACCAGCCCCACTGCACCTGGGCGGGAGAAGGTGGCCACGCAGAAGGCAGACTGGCAGCAACCTTGCCAACCCCATCTCATTCCAGCTCCCCGTCTGTATGCACAGCTCCTGGGTCCATCCCAGTCCTGGCCACAACAGCAGAGGTTGTTTTCTGTCTCTTGAGCGAGGGACACAGCAGTCCCTGTCCCTGGAGAAAGCCCAGGGATTGGAGTAGGGATATATATATATATATACATATATATATATATACATCCTGAGGATGTATATCCTCAGGCTATACATCCTGAGGAGTAGATCTCTCTCATCCTTTTTTTTTTTTTCTTTTTGTCGGTCGTGGGCTTGAACTCTGGGCCTGGGCGCTGTCCCTCAGCTCTTCAGCTCAAGGCCAGCACTCTATCACTTGAGCCACAGCGCCACTTCTGGTTTTCTGGTGGTTAATTGGAGATAAGAGTCTCACAGAGTTTCCTACCCAAGCTGGCTTTGAACCATGATCCTCAGCTCTCAGCCTCCTGAGTTGCTAGGATTACAGGCATGAGCCACTGGCCCCCAGCTCTCATCCTGGTTTGATCTCCAGGGTCTAGATGCCCCCTCATTGGGGCTCACTGGCAAGTGGAGAGATGAGTGAAGTACTGACAGTAGTAGGTCAGTCCTGCCCACTACCAGAGAGATACATCTGTCTTACCACATAAGACAGTACCCCAGAAGAACAGATTTATCCCGCCCTCCCTTCCCACTTGCCCCTGGGCCCAGTTCAGCTGGTCCCTCAGCCCCTACTATGACAAGTAGTCCTGAACATCTTGAATCCTCCCTACTTTGTGTGCAGCCAGATGGCTTCCTGTCCCATCCCTGTCCACAGCCGTCTCTGCTGGGCAGCACCAGCCACCAGGGGCCTGGGACCCATGTCTTATGAATTCCAGCCATGCCAGTCAGGGTGAGCCTGCTCCTAGGGCCAGAGATACATAGTGACAACCCCACAGGTCTGGGGAAGGGACTCACGCTGCCTTTGGAGATGTAGTTTGAGTCCCGCATGATGTCTCGAGCCAGGCCAAAGTCGCAGATCTTGACCAGTTTTCCCTCGCAGATGAGCACGTTCCTGGCTGCAAGGTCTCGGTGGACACACTGAGAGGGGAGAACAGGAAGCTGAGGCCTGAGGAGAGACCCTCCATGCCAGGGCTCTGGGGAAAAGTCACCGCTGCACCAATGTGGGGGTGTCCACTGTCCTCTCCACCCACCACCCACCTCCACCATCATTTAGGGCCACAAGTGTGGAAGGCTTTGGTCAGCTGGGTGTTCTGCCTCCCACATTCCCACTCCACCCCTCCAGGACCACACATACATTCTTGGAGGCCAGGAACTCCATGCCATTGGCCACCTGGTAGCTGAAGCCCACCAGGTCTGTGTAGCTTAGCACTGGGGACTCGTTGATCAGCGTCGTTCTCTCAGGGGCTAGGGAAGATCAGGGAGGTCAAGGGTCATCTTATGTAGTTCCAGGCCCCCAGAGGTTCCCTGGATTTTGGTTTGTGGAAGGCTGAATGTCCCACAGGTGGCTACTGATTTTCTAAGGGAATTTGAATGCTTTCTTAATGTCTAACCTAAACCTCTCCTGCTTCCCAGAGCCTTGGTGAGTCAGAACAAGCTTTTGCATTTGCCCTGGGCCACTTGCATGCCTGAGGGACACTCAGCTAGCATGAGGCCTGCTTTGAATGAATCACTTTTCCTCCAGGGTCCAGGACGCCAGTGAATCCCCTGTCTCACCCCTGTGTTCCCCTGCAGCTGTGTGCAGGGCTCTGGACTCACCAACAGGAGTTCATACTGAGGCTCCACTGCCTGTGGCCAGCCTCAGTTTCCCTATCAGTGAAATAGTCACAAGGCCACCTTCCTCCTGGGGTGGCTGCAAGGCTGGGCATGTGAAGGGATTTGAGAAGAGTGAATCACTGCACAGTGCAAACCCATGCACGTGCAAAGACACTATGTCTACCCACCCGAGGGGATGTAGTTATCGTAAGAAGTCATGTAGTCAGAGGACTCGATGTCTGCATATTTGATGTCTCCTTTCATGGCCAGCATGGGGACATAGTCCACTGACTCATCCTTGCTCATATCCATGTAGCCTCCATCACTCTCCCCACTCAGGGACACGGGGCTGGAGGTAAAGAACGCAGTGGTAAAGGCCAGGGGCTTCTCTTCCCTTCCCCCCTCTTTCTCACCTAGAGCCCACAGGGAACCCTGTCATTCACACATTCCTTCATTCACGTATGCATTCTTCTCCAGTCTGTCACAACATGAATGACCACAAAGCAGGCCATTTCAAATGATCTATGTGGTCCTAAGCTAGGTACTAGGGCTTCCAAGACAACATAAGACCCAGCATGTGTCTTCAGGGAGCTCACACCCACAGATGATTACATAGCCTGGGATGAGGATCCCAAATGGGGGTGCACAGAAGCACTTTCCCAAGTCTCTCCAGCACCACCTAACAGTGCCCAGGGCAGCTAGTGCAGGCAGCAAGGTCCTGCCATGGTACTTCTGCCTACAGACAGACAGCTGTAGGGTTACACGTTCATTGTCTCCATGAATGGAGGAAAGATGGATGAAGGTACTGGGGAGGACAGAGGTGCTATTGTTGTTTGTGCTGGTATTGGGGCTTGAACTCAGGGCCTCAAGATCTTGCTTGGCTTTTCTTTTTGCTCAAGGCTCGTGCTCTACCATTTGAGCCATACTTTCAGCATTTTTCTGGTTAATTAGAGATAAAAGTCTCACAAACCTTTTGGCCCAAGCTGGTTTCAAACTGGGATCCTCAGCTCTCGGCCTCCTGAGTAGCTAGGATTACAGGCATGAGCTACTTGCATCTGGCAGGGATGAGTTTTTATGACTTTGGAACACATTGCCAACATTACTTGTCTTTCATTTTGCAGTCAACAGAACTGAGAGTGTTTGTTTTGAAAACATTGGAAATGGGAGTTGAGCTGCCAGAGGAATTCTGAGGGGTAGGGGTAGGGGGGCTGGTGTGGAGGCACTGGTATGGAGACCAAATCAAAAAAGCTACAGCAAGGAGCAAGGTACTTGCAGCACCCCAGAGCATGCTGGGAGATTGGCTCTCAGCTCCCCATGGCGTCTGCCCCTTGGGGGAGAGGCTCTCTGGGACCAGAGAGCAAAACACCCACAACACAGGAAGAGTGGTGTTGATTCTAGAGAGTTTAGCACAGGGCCTGGCACACTGGAACAACCATTCTCACCAGTACCATCACTCGCTGATCTGTGAAACAGCCCTGGTTCCAGGAGCGCCTCTACTTCCAACCCCCCCACCCCCAATACACACCTCAGTCTCTTATACCCAACAAGGAGGGAGCACACAGGTGCTCAACAGGTGCCGACCTCCCTCCAGGTACCTGGGCAGGGAGAGCGCTGTCGGCAGTGCACTGCTGTAGAGTTCAGCGCTGGGCGGGTGGCGCTTGTCGGCATGGTGCTGCAGGAAGGTGTACTTGTTGCGGTGCAGATAGTCCACAAGGTCACCGTAGCGGCAGTATTCGGTGATGATGTAGATGGGCCCTGCGGAGGGACAAGTCAGAGACAGAGCCCAGGACTTCCCATCAGGCTCATAAACCAAGCTGGGTATGCAGCAGCTGCTGGCAGGATGGCTAAGGGTGCTTTGTGAGCCTTGGTTCTTTTCCTGTTTCTTTCTGTAGCTGTGAGTGAGGGTCTCTGTCTTCCAGGTATTTCTTTTACCCATCCAGGAAGTGGAACTAGGAACACCCATCTTCAGGGATGTGGTGAGGACTCAAAAAACAGCCTTTGTAGGTATGGCATGGGGAAAACACACAGCAAGATCAGTTACTGCTATGTTTGCACATTCAAGCTAACATGGAGCCTAGTATATATGAGGTAGGTAAAGGTAATTATGTTTTCTGTGTGCCAGTATTGGGGCTTGAACTCAGGACCCTTAGCTTTTTCATTCAAGGCTGGCACTCTACCACTTCTGCCACAACTCTACTTCTAGTTTCTGGCTTTGGAGTATTTAATTTGAGATAAATCTAACTTTTCTGCCAGGGATGTTTTCACACAAATCATCAGATTGCAGCCTTCTGAGTAAGTAGGACTGTAAGTGTGAGCCATCAGCTCCAGGTGCAATTGCTTTATCATCAGCTTACAGGTTACATGAAAATGCACTGAATTTACTTCATGCTAACCCATGGGAAAAACTGAGAATAACCTTTGAAATGAGTGGTCACTGCAGACACAGATTGGCCTGTGTATGCAATGTACTTCTGTATTTTGATTTGGTTGCACAACACGGAGAAAAAAATCCCAAATCTCACAATAAGCAGCTGTGAGTAACAATTAACTTTTTTTTCCCCCAGCTCAACTTACCATTGGAACTTCAAAGTAGCATAGGGCTGGGCAGAGAGACTTTCTTCTACAGGCAGAATGAGAGCATCTCCCACTTAGCAAGCTGGCGCCCTGTACTGGTGATCCCTGACTTATCTCAGTGTCATGTGAGCTACTATGTATTACTGCTTTCAAAATGCATTGTGAGCCCAGCCGTCTGCCAGCCCAGGCAGAAAAATTCTCAGGACTCCTATCTCCAAGAAGAGGTGTGGCTCAAGTAGTAGAGTGCCAGCCTTGAGTGAAAAAGCTAAAAAGAGCATAAAGCCCTGAGTTAAATCCCCAGTACCAGCATGCATGTGCCTGTGCGTGCACAGACACATGTATTCTTGTTTGTTTTGTTTCATTTTGCCTAAAGAGTCCTTCCTCTGTGAGCTGTGTGGTTCTAAGTTTCTAAACTTTCACTCATCTGGGACTGTGAAGGGCGGTTATTGGACAGCAGGGGTGTGGACGTCCAGCGGGGTGGGAGGGGCACTGCCCATGGACAGAGCACTGGGTGGAGATAGGCTGGGATGGGTTGTTACCTCCTTTGGTGCAGGCCCCCAGCAGGTTGACCACATTCAGGTGGGGCCCGAGGTGACTCATGATCTTCAGCTCTGACATGAGAGCTTGCTTCTCGCTGCTGCGGGCGGTGGCTGAGGACAAGGGAAGGGGTCTCAGGCCAGGCAGTTCTCTGACACTCCACTGTGACCCCAGCAGAGCCCATTCTGGCTCCAAGACCTGGGTGGCCTGGGATCATGAGGGCCGTTCTCTGCTCCTGCTCTGGAGGAGGTAGGCTGAGGAGGTGACCACATGGCTATCTCCAGCATATCAGGTCCAGGCTGAGCCCAGTGTGTAGGGAGGGGGCGGGGGAGGCAGGAATGAGGGTAGTGGACTAGGACTCACATTTCAGCATCTTGACAGCTACTTTCATGGTAGCCTGTGAGTGGCTCAGGCCATGAGCTGTGGCCTCCACTACCTGCCCAAAGGCTCCGGAGCCAAGGGTTCGTCCTACGGTAGAGAGAATTGCTCAACTGCTGCTGGTCTGCCAGGAAGCTACATTTCCCCTTCCCTCCCAGCCCTCGGTCCTCTCTGGACTTAGTTTTCTCTCTACAGGTGACCCCTACATCACAAAGCTTCTAGTCCTTCTGGTGTCTCATCTGAGTCCTACCTACTATCTGTCCTGTCTTCAATCTCTGAAAGCTCTCCCCGTACCCAGGGAATCTGTATACATTCCACCTTGTCAGCTGGCTTAGTGTAGCTAATATTAGTGTCCCTAATATTTCTCTCCTATCCCTAACACTTCCTGGCTATGAGGAGTCCCACCTCTATCTCAGGATCACAGATCCTCAATGATGGGCAGTACCTAGGACCATCTTGTCCTTAGACAGAGGGGAGACTGAGGACTAGAGAAGGGAAATGCAGCCCTAGACACCCTAGTTAGTCATGGCCTGGCTGAAACTTGATCTCAGATGGTCTTCACCCCCATCTTGAAACTGTCCCTCAAGGCCTCCCAGGACTGACCAAGCACAAGCTGGTCCCTCGGAAGTTCCCACGTGGAATCGTAGGGCAGCTGCATGGGATCCACATAGATGTATTCATGGCCATCAGAGCTTACAGATTCAATCACCTTCCACCGGATCTCGTAGCGTGGCTTCTGCATGTCAAACGCCAGAAACAGATCATCGGCGAGTGCCTTTGGCCTTTCTAGCCCCTTATTCAGATGGGGCAGGATATTATGAAGCCCAGAGAAGAACAGGGACATATTTAAAGATACACAGCAAATGATCAATTGAGCCAAAGTCCTCATGGGCTCAGAAGAAACAGGCACCATGAGATTGCAGCACAGGGAGAGGGTGGCAGAGAGGCCATCAGGACTCCACAGGTAAGGAGGAGAGGTGCAGGCAGCCCTGGAGAGGACAGAACTCAGGACACTGCTGGGTGAGGGGGGCCCTCCCATGCTGGGTGTCACTGTGGGAATCTTGGAAGGATATAACCTTCAGAGGTGGAAATTTGGGGATTACAATCTTAGAATGACAGATTCATGGGGTGTTACGATCTTAATCCGGAAGTCTTAAAATGTTTGTTACCACAGAATGGTGAAATCTCAGAATGAGACAGGGAAAAATACAGGTTTCTAGGGTCTGGTTGCATTTCAGCCAATTCTAGAAGCCCAAGACCCAAGACTGAGGTAAGCAGGGCCCAGGGCAGGGGTGAGAATCCGGGGGCATGGGGACCAGGCCTGGGCAGGCCCAGGCTGCAGCTGGAACCCCATGTCTATGTCCGTTCCCATCTCAGCTCCATGCTGATCCTCACATGTAGAAGGACTATGTGGCATTCAGGAGCAGAGGGGGTCCACACAAGGACCCCAACCTGCACCCCAGTCTGCACCCGCTGGCCAGGTGGGCTTACCTTCTGCCATAGCATGATAAGGATGATGAGGGAGATGACTGTCAGAACCACCAGCGCCAGGATGGCAGAGATCACCACCACCTTGAAGGGCAGGGCTGGAATGGATAGCAGAGCAGGTTGTGAGAAAGTGCAGCACTAGACAGCTGCTCCTCCATCCCCTGTGGGTCCCACACATCACCCTGCTCAGTCACATGCCCCAATGCCCAGTGGGTTGTGAGTCAGGCCTCAGCTCTACCCCACACAACTGGCCTTTCCTATAACTGCCAGCTCCACATTTTTAAAAACTAGCATAGATTCATTGTCAAAGGGGTTTCACTGTGATAGTTCCATGCATATAATAAGCTTGGATCTGTTGTTTTTTTCCTTCCTTCCTCCCTCCCTTCTTCCACTTCCCTTTCCTTCCTTTCTTCCACTTCCCTTCCCTTCCTTCCTTCCTTCCTTCCTTCCTTCCTTCCTTCCTTCCTTCCTTCCTTCCTTCCTTCCTTCCTTTCTTCCTTCCTTCCTTCTTTCCTTTTCTTTTCTTTCTACCAGGGCTTGAATTCAGGACTTGGAACTCTGACCCCCGAGGGTCTCTTACGTTTCCATATGAATTTTCAGATTGACTCTGCTACTTCTGTGTAAAAGAACACTAGCATTTTAATGAAGACTGCATGAGTCTGTAGATTACTTTCAATCGCTCAGCCATTTTTCACAGTCTGAATTCTACCAATCCATGAACATGGGAGGTCTTTCTGTCTTCCAGTGGCTTCAGTTTCCTTCTTCACTGTTTTATAATATTCACTGTCGAGGTCTTTCACTTCCTTGGTTAAGTTTTTCATAGGTTTATTTTTCAAGTTATTTTGAATAGGTTATTTTCCCAGTTTCTTTCTCTGTGTTGTTGGTTATAGAAATGTTACTGATTTTTTTCCTTCTATCTAACAAGCACAAAGCTCTAAGTTCAAACCCTAGTATCATCAAGAAAAAAAGTTACTGCTTTTTGTATGGTGATTTCCTACATTCTGTTATTTTGTGGAAAATAGTAGATCTAAGGGTATTCTTTTTGTAGAGTATTTAGGATCCTTTTAGTATAGTATCGTACATCTGCAAATAGGGGTGATTTTACTTCTTCTTTCCCTGTTAGTATCCTTTTTATTTTTTATTTTTTGTTTGCCTTATTGCTCTGGCTGGGAATTCTAGCAACACATTGAATGAGAGTAGTGAGATTGGATCCCTTGTCTCATTCCTGATTTTAGTGATTTCAGTATTTCCCCATTTTGTGTAATGTTGGCTACAGGTTTGTCTTATGTAGCTTATGTAGCCTTTATTACATTGAGGTATGCTCCTTCTATTCCTAATTTTTTTTCTGGCTTTTACCATGAAAAGATGTTGAATCTTGTCAAAGGCCTTTGTATTTGTTAAGATGATCATGTGTATGTTGAACCATGCTTAGAACGAAACCATTATCTTTTTAATTTGCTATTGAATTCAATTTGCAAGTATTTTATTTAAGAATTTTTTGCAAAAGGCAGAGAGAGAGAGAATATGAAATAACCAGCTCTTGGGGTTAGAGGCATGGCTCGGTTGCTAGCCAGTAAGCAAAAATGTCAAGTACCTACTCTGAGTCCCTGTCTCAGACCCAAGAAAAGAGAAAGAGAGAAGAAAATTTTGCATCTATGTTCATTAGAAAAATTGTTCTATGATTTTTCTGGTGTGTCCTCACTGGCTTAGTATCGAGGTAATATTGGCTTCACAGAATGAGTTTGACAGTATTCCCCCTTCTATTTTAGGGAATAAGTTGATCCTTAAAGTTTTAGTAGAATTTGGCCGAGAGCCCATCAATCTACTCTGCTTCCTCCTAATCCTCCTCTTCCTCCTCTTCCTCCTCTTCCTCCTCTTCCTCTGGTGGTCCTTGGGTTTAAACTTATACTTGCCAAGTAGGCACTCTATCACTTGAGCCATGCCCCCAACCCTTTTTGCTTTTAGTAATTTTTCAGGTAAGGTTTTTTTTTTGGGGGTGGGGGGGTTTCGGTCGTGGGGCCTGAACTCTGGGCCTGAGCACTGTCCCTCAGCTCTTCAGCTCTAGGCTAGTGCTCTACCACTTGAGCCACAGCGCCACTTCCAGTTTTTTCTGCTTATGTGGTGCTGGGGAATTGAACCCAGGGCCTCATGCATGCAAGGCAAGCACTCTACCACTGAGCCACCTTCCTGGCCCCCTCAGGTAAGGTTTAAGGGTGTCTTCATTTATGTTTTTGTTTTGTTTTTGTCCTGGCTGTCCTGGACTGTGCTATTTCTACTTGTGCTTTCCATATAGCTGTGATTCAAGTGTTTGTTGAGAAAGGGGTCTTGATAACTTTTTGCCCAGCTTGCCTCAAACCATAATCCTCCTGATCTCCACCTCTTGAGTATCTGGGAGTTCACAGCTGTGTGTCACCATGCCTAGCCCTGGAAGATTTCTTATCTTTGTTGCAAGATTTCTTTTTTGCAGAAAATCAGGGAGAGGGGCAGGTCTGAAGTGGAACTCAGGCCTCATACTTGCTAAACAAACATGAGCTATATCCCCATAGGCATGATTTACCTCTAAGCCATGTCTCCAGCCCTGATTTTTGCTTGCTCATACTGAGATAAAGGGTTGCCTCCTTCCCTAGTGAACATCTGGGAGTGATCCACTTAGTTAGGCTTCCTGATGCAAGGATACCAGGTGTGCACCACCATGTTCAGCTCTTCATTGAAAAGAGGTCTTGTGAACTTTCTTCTGTTTAGACTAGCCTCAAATTGTAGTCTCCCAAAATTTAGCCTCTCGAGTAACAGGTATGAGCCATTGGTGCCCAGTGTATTGTTGGGAGACTTTTTATTATTGATTCACTCCTATTGCTCAGTACAGATCTGTTGAAGTATTTGATATGTCCTCATGAGTCAATTTAGATAGGCTATATACCCCCTAGAAGTTCACCTATTCTAGATTTTTCCAGTTTGTTAGACTATAAGTTGAGTATTGTTGAGTGGGTGTGTGTGTGTGTGTGTGTGTGTGTGTGTGTGTGTGTGTGTGTGTGTGTGTGTGTGTGTGTGTTGAACTCAGGGCCTAGACACTGTCCCTTAGCTTTTTCACTCAAGACTGGTGCTCTAGCACTGGACCCACAGTTCAACTTCCAGTTTTTTGCAGGTTAATTAGGCTTTGAACCATGATTCCAACCTCTTGAATAGCTAGGATTACAGGCATGAGCCACTGACACCTGGCTAGAATTTAAGTTTTTGAAGTACTGGTATTTGTCATGATAACCTCTTTTTCATCTCTAGTTTTTTTGGGGGGAGGAGGTCAGGAGGCTTAAACTCAGGGCCTGAGTGCTGTCCCTGAGCATTTTGCTCAGCTAGTGCTCTACCACTTAAACCATAACTCTGTTCCAGTCTTCTGGTGGGTAATTGAAGGTAAGAAGCTCAAGGCCTTTCCTGCCTAGGCTGGCTTCGAACTTCAGTCATCACATCTCAGACTCTTGAGTTGCTAGGACTGGCATGAACCACTGATACTGGCTTTATCTCTAATTTTATTAGTTTTTCTCTCTTATATACTTCTTACAGGTTGTTCTTCCTATCAATAGACCTTCTTCATCTCTTCTGACAAAGAAAGTTTTTGTTCAAAGCCTATTTAGTCAGATATGAGTATACTTATTCATCCCTGCTGCTAGGATCCATTTTCTTGAATATCTTTTTCCAACGTTTAATTTTAAGTCAGTTTCTCTTTGCCAGTGAGGTCCGTTTCTTGTAGGCAACAAATGCATATCTTGTCTTTTCATCGCACCCACCGTTCAGGTGTTTATGCATGTCATCTTTAACTTTGCTGACCATTTCTATCATTATTCTTTTGAGTCCTTTGTCTGAGATGTCACCTGCTTCACAATCCTCAGTGCTCATGATAGTAAGGTCTTTTTCAGATGTCATATTGCCTTGTTTTTCCATATTTCTCATCTTTCTGCATTGAGATTTGCATCCACAGGCCAAGTCACTGGTTGGAAGTTTTAATCGTCTATCATCTTCCAGTTGAAGTCTTCTTATGTTGTCACAAGTTGAGGTGTGGTTTTCACCACTGAACTTGGGGGGAAGCTCAGTGGCCAAACATTTGCCTAAAGCCTCTGGGTACCAGGCTGATCGTCAGCATTGCTCCAAATAAAGGACAACTAGCTGGAGTCTTGTAGTTCCTAGTGTACAGGTTAGTGCTGCAGGTGTATGGAGGGCAGGCCAATCACCTGTCATTGCTCACTTCTGTGCTGCTTTCACCCCAAGTCTCACTTTCCTTGTACACTGGAAGCCACTGCTGGCTGCGAGAAGCTTTGTAGTATTCCAACAAGGCTCACAGCCTTTCTGTTTGTGCCTCCAGTGGCAGCAAGCATGCAAACCTAGGAGTGTGCCCCTATTATGTACTCAATACATCAGTACTCAATGGGAGCAGACAGAAACCTAAGTTTTCCACTGGTAGTGGAAAACTGCTGGACTTAGGTCTTGGTGCTTTCAAACCTTGTCCAGCAGTTCATTAACCCTGTGGGAGAAAGAAGGCTTGGAAAGGCCTGGTGGCCCCGGAAGACTATGTTCAGGGCTCCTAGTTCCAGCTGTCAGCAAACCCCCACAGTCCACAGAGGCTTCTGATGACTGATTTACAGGCTGGCCTTTCTGATGTAGTGTCAGGCTAGTGTCTAGTCCTTCTTTGGGCTCTTGTCCATGGTTTGTATCTCCCATGAGACTCTGTGTCCTGAGGGCCAGGCTGTGTGTCTGCTCTCCTCCAGGCACATGTTATTACTAGGTTGTCACATCTAGGTCTGAACAATAAGCTCATGCTTGACAATGGTCAGCACACTAAATGACTGGCTGCTGAGAAAAATTTACTCTGAGCTCCCATACCCTGGAGAAGGCTGCTCAGTTTTCAGTGCCACTTCAGGGCCCAGCTGGGGTGGGTAATGAGGGGTTAAAAAATGCATTCCCCAGGGTACTGGGGTGAGCCCAGGGGGCCCTCCCAAACCCCAAGGCCTTGGCTTCTTTGCTATATACTTTCTCTCTCTGGACAAACATCCATTTTCCCTCCACTGGCCACCTCTGTGGTCTCTTAAAACTTGTCCCCAACCCCTTCCCGTACTTCTCTGCTCCACAGGAATCCCTGCCTGGCTCCCCCCTGCATGGGCACCATCCCCTGCTCCCCTCCTTTCAGTCCTGAGAAGGAAAGCTTGCATCCGTTGAGGGCTCATGGGAGTACAGAGGAGTGTGCATCCACTCATCTCAGTTCCTCAAGCAAAGGTGAATGAGAGGGACCCCTCAGACAGGTTATTCCTGACTTTGTCAATGCTAGTGTAGAACCTCTCTATCATTCAAACTGCGCACACTACGCACACGCTCAGTTACTCAGGGATATCTGTGCATGTTGGAAACCTAGATGAGACACAGTTTTCTTGTTTTTGGCTTTTTTTGGTGCTAATATTGCGTCTTGAATCAGGGTCTGGATGCTGTTTCTTAGCTTTTTCGCTCAAGCCTGGCACTTGAGCCACAACTTCACTTTCAGATTTGGGTGGTTCATTGGAGATAAGAGCCTCATGAACTTTCCTACCCAGGCTGGCTACAATCTTCAGATTTCACACTCCTGAGTAGCTAGGGTTACAGGTATGAGCCACAGTGCCTGGCATATATACTCAAGCTTTACTCGTGTATCTGGAGATTAATATCTTCAGCCATCCACGCTTAAGAACAGGCCTGCTCATGGGCAGGACATATGGCATACAACACACATATCATTTACATTTGCTACACAGAAGCAGATACTGCTTCTCATACCTGTGATTTACAGACTGGAGCTTGTACCATGTACCCATATTATGTAGACACATACAGTCATACTCTGGTGGGTTTCACAAAGCCTGCATCTATACATATCCTGACTTAACCCTCTGTGGACACCAGGAATCAGTCCCCAAGCATGGCAGGGTCAAAGAAGGGTCTGAGAAGTCATCAGGGAGACTCACAGTGCGGCACCACAGTGACCTCCTGCATGTCCTGGCCCAGCAGATTTTGCAGTGTGCAGCGCACAGACAGGGGCTGATCCACATGGCGCAGGCGCAGTGTGCTCACTACCTCATATTCCTGTTCCTCCACCAAGTAAGTCACATTAGTCTCCAGCTGGCTCTCCCCCTCAGAACTGTTCCCCAGAGGAGTGGGTGGCAGCTCACGTGGGCACCTGTGAGGGGAGACAAGGAAAATGTCCTACTGATTCTTCTGTCTGCAGATGGGGAAACTGAGATCAAGAGCAGGCAGCAACATGGCGCAAGTAGGACATGACGAGTTCCTGCCACCTCCAGCTGTCTGGTCCCGTTCCAGTTCCTCCTCTGTTCTCCAATATGACCAGCAGAGGACACTCTTGTTCCACCACCAAAAACTGAATTGCAACATCCCTTCCTCTCATTTTGACCCCCAAGCTCACGTAGTGTGTCCCATGTAGAATAAAATGAATTCAACCTTACTCTATCCAGCACACTAGGACAAGCACTGGCCAGGGATATTCTAGGTGGGTAAGGCCTCTGTGGGGCACAGACAATGCCCAGAGGAATGGCCCAGGGATCAAGGTAAGGACAAGGGACAGTTCAGGTGATGGTTTTCTAACCTGGAGCTTAAATAAACTTCACTGGGTCCTTTAGCCAGCTGTGGGTGCCTGGGAGCCTGAAACCCAGAGCCTGCTCACCTTTTAAAGTCTCTGCAGATGGACCAGGTGACATTTGGCTGGGGCATACCACGGCCACGGCAGCGAACTCTTTGCTCCCCATTGGCAGGGTGGCTCTCGCTCAGCTCCAGCATACGGACGGGGACTGCACGGATTGGGGGGAGGAGGGAAGGCAAAGGGTCAGGAGGTGCACAGGTCAGGACAGTCAGCCCCGGGAGGATCTGGCCCAGAGACACCCCTCAGGGAGGGGGCTGCAGACTGCAGGTGAATACTGTGTGAAAGTGATAGATTCTTCTAGGGTACTTCAAAGAGAAGACCTCAGTAGGGTGCCAGTCTGTCCCTAACACCTCTATGGGACTTGCAAAATCTTCCCTTTCAACAAAGAGAAACCAAGAGCCCTGGCCAGCCTGGCTCCAGAAGCTAGAATTGAATAGCACTGGTTTGTTTTCTCTGAGTTTATTTTAGTGCTTGCTTTATGTTTATGACATGTGAGGCTGATTTTCCATCTACAGTGGAGAGGTTACATTTTGTCTTTCAAAAATAAACTTATTTTTAGAAAGCTAATTGACAAAACATGAAGTCATCCTCGTGTCATTCATATGCTCAAGTCCCGGAGATGGTTCTTCATTTCAATCACAGTAGAAGCCAGGCCCTACATATCTGCCTGTCACCCCCAGGTTACCTACCTCTCCTCTGATGTCACCCACCTCCCTCCCCCACCCTCTGTCCTGCCTACCCCCAGGTTACCTACCTCTCTTCTGAGATCATACCCCACCACTCCCCTCCCTGTTCTGACAATGCAGACCTAACTGAGAGCTTGTGACTTTCTCCCTTTCCTACCCCCCTTCCCTCCCTTCTTTTCTCCCTCCTGTCCTTCCTCTCTTCCTTATATACTAGAGTTTGAACCCACAGCCTGAGCTTATTAATCAGGTGCTCTACCATGAGAGCCATACCTCTAGTCCCCAAAGACTTTCTGCTAGAGCTCTGGCATTTGTACTGCCTTGGGTACTCTCTTCTTTAAGTATTCTTCATGGATGAAGCCAACTCTGATCATCCTGTTTAAAAGTGCAACTTTAACCAATCTTTGTGTCCAGTCTTCCTCCCTGCCTTTCCTGTCCCATAGAGCTTATTATTTTCTAATGTATGTCATGCACACGAGTATATACCTGTGTGTACATATGTGTGTATGTGTGTGTGAGAGAAACAGAGATAGATAGATAGATAGATAGATAGATAGATAGATAGATAAAAAGAGAGAGAGAGAGAGAGAGAGAGAGAGAGAGAGAGAGAGAATGAATTAGTACTGGGACTCAAGGCCTGGGCACTATCCCTTACCTTTTCAATTCAAGGCTGCGGCTCTCTCACTTGAGCCATAGCTTCACTTCTGGCTTTTTGGTAATTAATTAGAGATAATAGTCTTGCAGATTTTCCTGCCCAGGGTGGCTCTGCAACCCAATCCACAGATCTCAGCCTCCTGAGTAGCTAGGATGATAGGCATGAGCCACCAGCACTTAGCTGTAACCTATGTCATTTTCCGGGGATCTCTCTCCTGCCTATTATGTTTGTGTTTCCCTATAAAGATACAAACTGCTTAACAACAGGACCTTGAGAACTAAACAAGCTGATGTATTGTAGTTGCTCAATAAATATCCACACAGTATGAGTGCTTTGTAAGAAGAAACTAATTGTGGCATTTGTCCACAGTTTTTGGAAACACCAGGGTAGCCTAATTGCATCCTTTTGCAACTGGGAAAACTAAGGTCCAGAGAGGAGACAGTGGCCTAGAAGTCAGCTTCTTTAAGCCAAGCACTGGTGGGTCATGCCTTAATCCTAGCTATTCAGTGATCTGAGGATCACTGTTCAAAGCCAGCCTTGGCAGGAAAGTCCATGAGACTCATTCCAATGAATCACCAGAAATCTGGAAGTGGTACTGTGACTCAAAGTAGTACAACATTAACCTTGAGCAAAAGAGCTCAGGGACAGTGCCCAGGCCCTGAGTTCAAGCCCTACAACCAACAAAAGAAGAAGGAGAATGAGGAGGAAGGCGAGGAGTAGGAATAGGAATAGGAAGAGGAGGAAGAGGAAGAGGAAGAGGAAGAAGAAGAAGAAGAAGAAGAAGAAGAAGAAGAAGAAGAAGAAGAAGAAGAAGAAGAAGAAGAAGAAGAAGAAGAAGAAGAAGAAGAAGAAGAAGAAGAAGAAGAAGAAGGAGAAGAAGAAGAAGAAGAAGAAAAGGAGGAGGAAGTAGTCAGCCTCCTTAGTTCTAGACTTCCTTTCTAGTAGATAGCAGGTAACAGATAGTGGGTAGGTGGGTAATATAGGGAGAGGAAATGGATAGGGAAAGGAGGAAGTAGGTGATCCTCACCATTGACCTGCAGCCTGAAGGAGAGCTGGGCTTCAGCATCTTCATGGAAGACCAGCATGGTGTAATAGCCAGCCTCTGCCACCTTCACCCTCACAAGTGTCAGTTCGGACACATACCTAGGGAGGAGGCAGTCAGAGCTGGAGGAACTCTTACAGCCCTCCCCACCCACATCCCAGTACAGAGGCCCAGGGAGAAGGGGCTTGACCAAGTCTCCAAGGCAGCGGCAGAGCCAACACTCAAATCCAATCTCCTGAATCTCACCCACTGGCAGTTCCACGGAGCCAAGAGAAAAGCTTGTGCAAAATTGGAGGGGGTGTGTACAATTTTCCTCCCTCCACCTCATCCCTTCTGAGGGGCCAGACTTGCTTTGTCTTACCTAACCCCACAGTTTCTGTTAATATGCAAGTCTCTAGCCTCAGAGACAACAGAGATGACAGCAAATAGCCCTCCTGGTCCCCAGCCTTTACCTAGGCTGCCTGCCATCTGCTGGACCCAGTTGTCATAAATATCTTCATGATCAACTAGCCAGTACCGGTGTCCCCCAGTAGATCGGAAACTATCAGAGGAATGGAACGTTTTGCTCTTCTACCTGAAGCGTTCCATCACCTGCCACGATGTCTGGTTCATTGTGGGCCCTCGGGAATAGTGGACATAGGTTTGTCAGGTGGCTGAAGGCCCTGCTCACCAGGTCTCCGACACATTGCGAGTGGACAGGATGATCTCGCCGGCGCTAGAGTCGCCTAGGGTGCGGTTGTCCTTAAACCACAAGACAGAAGGTGGCGGATAGGCTTCGAACATCACTTGCAGCGTTCGGCTCTGGTGCAGCTCAGCAACTTCTACTGGGTTCACCTCCTGCAGCCGCACGTAGCCGACCTCTGCAAGGTAGGGTGGTCAGGGGAGGGTCATGGGGGCGGGGCTGATACGCCACCAATGGGGAGTGCCTTTGGGGGCGGAGCCACGGGGCAGGGTTATGATCCGCCACCAATGGAGGAGTGCCTTCCAGGGGCGGGGCTCTGGGGGCGGGGCTCCGGGGGCGGGGCTTCCAGAAGCAGGGCTTCCAGAAGCAAGGCTTCTTTTTGATGTGGGGCTTCAGGTTTGGGGGAACCTTCCAGTGATGGAGCTAGGGTTAAAGCTGAGGCTGGGACTGGATCTGGGGGCACAATTTGGCTCTAGTATTGGTGTTAGAGCGGTTTTGAGGTTGCGACTAGGGCTTGGTTTATAGCTGAGGTACACTGGTGCCTCAAGCCAACTCTGTGGTTGGATTTGGGAATCTGCTGCTTCGACCTGCCGCGGGGGTTGTGATCAGATCTCAGGTTGAGGCTAAAGTTCTGGCTGAGTGGAAAGTCTGGGTTGGCATTTAAGCCATATCCTGGAAGTGGAGTTTTGGCTATTGCAGTCTAGGACTGCTCTACAAAGTGGTTGGCTGTACCCCAGGACCGTGTCAGAAGCTGGGGGCCGCGTCCATCACACCCACCGAGCACAGTGATATTGACGGCCTTCTCGTCTCCATGCTCAGTCACAGTGTCTGACACATTGCAGCTGTAGACCCCGGAGTCCCCCAGTTCAGCACTGAGGACGTGCAGGATGGAGCGAATGTGGGAGGGCATGTCAAGGAGGAAGTCTGTCACTGGCTCTATCTTCCGTCCACTCTGCAGGGACAAGGCAGGAAGGGTCCCCACATCAGGAGGCGTCTGTGAGAGCTCAGTGTTCCTGCTGAGATATCCACCCCTGTCTGACCCCTCCTCTAAACTCCTGGCCCAGCTTTACCTCCAAGCGAGGGTATGTCCATTCGAAGTTGACCACCTCGGTCCCAGTCACAATGCACAAGATGGTGATGTTCTCGCCCTGGCGCACCACAGTCTGCACGGCACTCACGGAGACATTGATGGATGACACTGTAGGAAAGGCATGGGTTTAGAGCTGGAGAAGTTACCTCCAGCACTTGGACTTGGGAGTGAGGTAGAGGCCAAGAATGGGAAGAGATGACTGGTATGGAGAAGTCACTCACTCAATAATAGTTATGGAATACCTACTATATGCCAAGCACTATTCCAGGCACTGGGCTAGAGCTGTGAACAGGAGAGACAAAATCTCTATCATGGAGCTGACATTCTAGAAGGGTAAGAGTCTGGAAAGCTAAGTATCCTCTGGGGTCTAGCATGGGAGTTTACTGAGCACTTACCATATGTTAGATAACTGTCAATTTTTTATTTAATCTTCACTCTAATCCCTGGAGGTAAGCAGTCATCATTGCCCTTGTTTGTTTGTTTGTTCTTTCTTTTTTGCCAGTCTCAGAACTTGAACTCAGAGCCTGGATATTGTCTCAGCTTTTTGCTCAAGGCTAGCACTCTACCACTTAAGCCACAGCTCCAATTCTGGCTTTTTTTTTTTTTTGGTTGGTCATGGGGCTTGAACTCTGAGACTGGGTGCTGTCCCTGAACTCTTCAGATCAAGGCAAGCACTTTACCTTTGAGCCACAGCCCCTTCCTGGTCTTCTGGTGATTAATTGGAGATAAGAGTCTCATGGACTTTCCTACTCGGGCTAGCTTTGAACCATGATCCTCAGATCTCAACCTCCTGAATAGCTAGGATTACAGGCATAAGCCACCAGTGCCTGGGTCACTTCTGGCTTTTGGGGGTTAATTAGAGAAAAGAGTCTCACAGACTTTCCTGCTCAGGATGGCTTGGAGCTATGATCCTCAGATCTCAGCCTTCTGAGTAGCTAGGATTACAGGCATGAGCCACAGGTATCCAGCTCACTGCCATTGTTTTGTTGTGGCAAAAGCAGGCTTAAAGGATCATGTACCTTGTACATATCTTTTGAAAATCATGGAAAATGGCTGAGCTGGCATTCAGATTCAACCATCTCCAAAGCATATTTTTCTACCCACCACATTTTGTAGACCAGTTTTGCCACTAATGTGTTTTAAGAGTGTGAGCAAACTCCATTCATCTCTCTGACCATCAGTTTTCTCATCTGTGAAATGGAGGAAATGCTAACTCCAAGTCTGCAGTGAAAACTGATGTAAAATGGAGTTGTATATGTATGTGCGCAAGCGTGTGTGCCTCATGTTCTCACTTGGCTTTTTTGCCTAATGCTGGAGCTCTACCACTTGATCCATACCCCTACTTTCATATTTTTGCCCAGGCTGACTTTGAACCTCAGTTCTCTGATCTCAGCCTCCTGAGTAACATCCAACTGGAACTGTATACTTTGTAAGTTGCAAAACGCTATGCCTCCCCCTGAAGGACTCAATATCAAGCCAGAAAAGGGGGCTTACCCTGTAGGCTGTAGATGTAGTAGGCATCGGACTCTACTTCCCTGTCCTCTACAGTGGCTTTACAGATGTAAGTCTTGTCTTCAAAGATACCAGAGAAGCCTCGCTGATGGTCATAAGGGATAGGCAAGGGGGTGTCCACTTTCTTCTCATGCAGTGTCACCTCCAGCTGAGGGTCTGTCACTCGGCAGGGAATTGTAGTCTCAGCGACTTCCATGAGAAAGATGAATAGGTCATCGGAGTTCTGAGGAAGGAAGACCATGGCGGGATCTGCCAGAAGTAGAGCCAAGAAAGAAGGAAATGGTTTCTTCCTATTCTGTGAATTGCCATGTGTCTTTGAGCAAGTTTCTTTCCCTGTCTGGCCCTCAGTCTCCCCTATACAGAATAGGGATGCTGTTATGGCCCCATTCACTGCATTGTAACAGTGTCAGGAGGTGGGGTCTTCATGAGACAATTCACCCACAAGTGCTCCATGGAGGACACTGGTGCCATTCTAAAAGGAGCAAGTTCTTTCAGTTTGTTTTCTACACAATCATATCTCTGAACAAGGAGAAAAATTTCACTTAAGAAAACAATAATCTGGGGCTGGGAAGGTGGCTCAGTGGTAGAGCGCTTGCCTTGCATGCATAAGGCCCTGGATTCGATTCCTCAGCACCACATAAGCAAAAAGAAAAAAGCTGGAAGTGGCGCTGTGGCTCAAGTGGTAGAGCGCTAGCCTTGAGCTGAAGATCTGAGGGACAGCACCCAGGCCCAGAGTTCAGACCCCATGACCAGACCCCCTCCCCCCAAAAAAAGAAAACAATGATCTGACTGGTGACTCCTGTCTGTAATCCTAGCTACTCAGGAGGCTGAGATCTGAGTTATATTATGAAGTCAGACTTGACAGGAAAGTCCCTGAGTATCTTATTTCTAATGAACCAGCAAAAATCCAGAAATGGAGCTGTTGTCTCAAGAGTTCCAGCCTTGAGCAAAAAAGCTAAGGCTCAGTGCTCAGGCTCTAAGATCAAGCTCCAGTACCAGCACTAGTTAATTAATTAAAATCTAGACTAAGTATGTAACAAAATTGGGGAACAAGTGCCTTTAGCACCCCCTCTTTCTCTTCTGCTTTTTTTTTCCATGGGATGTTCCAACAAGAAGGAGGCCCTTTCTAGGTGCCAGCCTTTTTTTTTGGGGGGGGGGGGGGGAGCGTCCGGTTGTGGGGCCTGAACTCTGGGCCTGGATGCTGTCCCTCAGCTCTTCAGCTCAAGGCTAGCGCTCTACCACTTGAGCCACAGCGCCACTTCTGGCTTTTTTTCTTTTTGTTTATGTGGTGCTGGGGAATCGAACACAGGGCCTCATAAATGCAAGGCAAGCGCTCTACCACTGAGCCACCTTCCCAGCCTGAGTGCCAGCCTTTTATCTTGAACTTCCTGGTCTCCAGAATGATAACCCAATACATTTCCCTTCACTAGAAATGACCCAGTCTCAGGATTGTATTATAGCAGCAAACATGGACTAGGATAGATGCCCTCAGAGGCCTCTTCCACCTCTAACATTCTTAGGTGATCCACTTATTATTTTATTTTATTTTACTTTTTACATCCCACATGCCATTTTGAGTCATAGGGACAAAGAAAGAGTGGAGTAAACCAGCTGAGGGCATGGATTTCTTGGGAGGCAAGAATGGGATTGGTTCGCAAGATGCAGACAGACATCCAGGTAATGAGAAGGCACATCCATCTGTGCTGAGCCAGCTGGATTCTGAGTTCCTACGATGGTGCCATGGAGTCACTGAAGTCCTCCTGAGGACCCTCTGACATCTTCGGAGGAGAGAGGGTAAGGGAGTAGGCATGCAGACCAGGGAGTCTTACCTGGTACAAAAATGTAGAGCCGTTTTCGATCACCAGACTCCAGCCCAAAGGAGCTATTGTAGGTACAAAAGTATTCTCCTGTGTCTAGCCCCGTGACGTTGGTCAGTGTCAGTGTGCTAGAGAAGGTACCGTTCTGCATCTTGGAGAGTTGCTGCTGGGGCACTTTGGCCATCCTTTCCCACACCACTGGAGCTGAACCCGAGCAGACTAGAACAAAGGTGCTGGAGGCATTGATGACAAGCTCTGGGCCTGGGGGCGTGATGACCAGGCCCTGGGAGGTCTGCGGTCCCAGCAGCAAGAGTATGGGCAGCAACAGCAACTGGCCTTGGAGACAGGAGGTGGCAAATGTCAGGGCACAGGGGCCTTACCACCGCACTCTAGCTGTTTCAGAGGCGTGCATACATAATCCCCAATTCATGGAAAAACAAACCTCTCTATCCAGCCCTGAATAGAACCCTCTGCCTGTGGTTCTAAGCTTGATTGCCCACTGCCTCCAGGGGTCTGGAGGCTCTGTCTCCATCCCTCCAGACCCCTAGCTTGAGTCCCTCAGCAATGTAGTGTTCAAGCAGTCAGCAGAAGAGGTCAGGAAATCCTCGGGAAGCAATTCTCCAACCACCAGTTCCTGCATTATTTCCCAGGTCACTCTCTAACCTCTTCCCTGCTGCTGCTCCCAGCTGCCTAGGTTCCTGTGAAACCAAGAGATGGCTGAGCTTGGGAAGGGAGTAAGAGAGAGGTGCTAAGGTAACTTAGACAGATTGGGGCAGGAGAGATGCTGAGGGGCCTGGGAGCTGGAGGTTAACCAGAGAGAGAGAGAGAGAGAGAGAGAGAGTAGTCTCTCCCTGTAACATCCTCTGGAGTAGGGTTTTGTAATGCATGCCCTCATGGTCCCTGGTGATGAAAATCAGGACAGGTAGGCAAGCAGTAAGCCAGGCTTCTGGCACCAGCCTGAAGGGAAGGGCACTGGCATGCCATTGCTAGCTCGAGCATCCTTCCTGTCCTAGAGAACATGCATGCAACCAGTCCAACCAAGGAGAGATAGGAAGCCAGTGGTGACTGTTACAGGGTGCAGTGGGATATGAAAGGCTAAGCAGGGATTTGCCCGGATGGTTCCGGATGGCTCTGGACAAGGAAGGGTCTATTGATGGCTTCTAAGTGAGTAAGTGGGCAGTTGAAGGAGGCCTCCACAGAGGCACCTTCCTCTCCTGGCAAAAAGAAAAGAAAAAAAGACATTGAAGCCCCAGAGCATAGCCATGCTTCTGGCCTTTCCAGGCCTGGTTTTAGCAAGCACCAGCCCTGCTTGCTCCGCTCTGTGGCTTCCCAGGGCCCTAACCCCTTCTCCAGTCTACTTACCTTTGAGGAGTCGAGCTGACATCACACCTGGAAGCTGCATGGTGTCCTACAGAGTTAAACAAGAGTCAGGGCCCAGGGTAGAGGCAGCATCATGCTCATCTTAGCACTAAAGCTTCCTGCAGAGTGAGCCCCTGCCGGAACAATTCCTTTCCTGAGCCCTCTCCCCTCTGTTCCTAAGCATTGTGTGGCTTTGGCTGAGTCCTTTGCTTCTCTGAGCCTTAGTTTCCCTGTATGCACAATGGGATGGGGACACTGGGCTAGGGTCCAGAGGCCTGCCAGCTCTGACAGCTTGTCCTCTGGTGACAGTTCCAATACCAGGCACTTATCTGCCAGGACAAATATTTGGGAAAGTGTGATGAAAGGCCTGGAGGAGAAGGAGGGGGTAAGCCAGAGCCTAGCAAACTCCCACAGCTCCCTCCGCAAACACAACAGGAAGTGGGGAGGCTATGGGAAGGGAAGCAGGAGGAGTTAAGGCTGTGGAATGTGGGGGCTGGGCCTGGCCCCCCTGCTTAGACCACAGCAGTACTTGGAGGCCCAGGGGAGAGGGTCCAGGATCCCAGCCCCATTGAACTGGAGAGGCTTCGTAGGTCTTTTGGGACCAGTGAAGCCATGTCATACCTCTATCCCAGTGTCTAGGATGGGGAAACTGAGGCTCTGAGAAGGGAAGCCCATCCTGTTCAAGAGGATGCTAAAGAGAGCTAAATGGTGGGAGAGAGACACAGATAGACAAGACAGGGAAAGGAGATGCAGGAAATACACAGTTCTGGACACAGATGGAAGCAGGGACACAGAGACAGATTGAATTGGATGGGTCTTTAATCTAGTCCTTCCCTCAAGAGCCAGAGCTTAGTTTCCAAATAATCATAGTAGCCAAGCATGCCATGGGCTACCCACAGCTCCCAAAAGAAGGAGGCCGGGAGTAAACAGAAATCCCAAGGGCAAGAAATAGGAGAAGGGACAATGTGACAAGGCAACAGCGAGCCTCGTGATGCAGTAGGACTCACACTCCCTACTGCCTGACTGCCCAGTTTGGCCATACTAGCTCCCCACCTCCCCCTCTCACCCCTTCTAGTTTCCAGCCTAGAGCTGGGAACTAGGTCTGTATGTGCAATGGCTGCTTCTGTAGGCTGAGCCTCCCGCACTTGCAGTGGGATGATGGACAATGCATGCTACCTATCTAAGCTGACGTCAGACATTAAAGAAAGGACAGATGCCAGGCACCAATGGCTCATACCTGTAATCCTAGCTCCTCAGAAGGCTGAGATCTGAGGATAGTGATTGAAAGCCAGCCTGGGAGGGAAGTCTGTGGGACTCTTATCTCCAATGAACCACAAAAAGTCAGGAAAAGGGTTGTGGTTCAAGTGGCAGAGTGCCAGCCTTGAGAGAGAAAAAAAGGCTAAGAGAGTGCTTAGGCCCTGAGTTCAAGGCCCAGGACCAGAGCAAACACACACACACACACACACACACACACACACACACACACACACACACACACACACACACACACACACAGGATAGAGACTCTGCCCTTTGCCTATGAACCACAGCCCTAGCTCTGTGCAACATCCCAATAATCAGTTCAAACCAATCTGCTTTTCTCTTTTCTCTTCCTTCAGAGCAGCCTGCCAGAGGGTCCCCTCCTGCCTTCCTTTCCTCACTCCGAATTGCTTCAGAAGGTCAAATCCCAGCCGTCCCATGTCCCCTTGACAACATCGCCCACTCCCACTCCTCCGAGCCAGCCCCTCCAGCTGGACATCAGGTCTTCCTGCGCGCGACAAAGCAGTGCCCACACAGAGCCTGCAGCCTCCACAGAGGCCCATCTGCCTTTTAGGTGGGTGCCCCTCTGGCTCCCTACTTCCTGCCCGAGATCTGGGCCAAAGAAAATCATTAGCAGCCCAGGTTGGGGGAGGGGTCATCTCAGCCTTCCTCTCTCGCTGGCTAGCCACACTGTTTATTATTCTAAAGGAGGAATTTAGCCGCCTGGCGAGGAGACAGGAGGTCACTGCAAAGGGGCCAGCCTGGCTCTGGAAGGCTGGGCTGGCCGTGTGGGCTGGGACCTCATGGCATGTAGCCCCTGACCCTGCTTCTTTATGGCACTCTGTCTTCTCCCCTTCGAGCCGTCCGACTGGGGTTGGGGGTGGCTGAGACTCCTGGGACTCTGCGAGGAATGACTCTTTTCAAATGGGCAACAGAGGCCCAGAGAGGCACATGATCATGACCTAGTCAAACAGAAAAAAAGGCGGATTCGGGCTGTGGAAGAGGAGAAACTGAACAAATGAGTTTGGGAGAGTGTGAGGGGTTTGGGACTGGCTGGACTCTATAATAACATGTATTTCGGCTTTCCTCATAAGGTCCTTGAGCCCCACTGTGGGACTGAGCAGGACTCTAGCTTTCCCTAGCCAGAGAGGGAAGACTTTGGCTAGGCCATATTGGAAAATGATCCTTATCCCAAAGCTCAGCCTTTTTGACCAGCCAAAGAGGTTTGTCTCCAAGAGGTTTGTCTCTCAATGGAGCAGCTTGAGAGATGGAGCTAGTCAAGAGGACAAGGACAAGCCTGGTGCCGGTAGCTCACGCCTGTAATCCCGACTCAGGAGGCTGAGATCTGAGCATCACAGTTCAAAGCCAGCCCAGGCAGGAAAGTCCGTGAGACTCTTGTCTTCAATAAACCACCAGAAAACTGGAAGTGGCGCTGTGGCTCAAGTGGTAGAGCACTCACCTTGAGCTGAAGAGCTGAGGGACAGCACCCAAGCCCAGAGTTCAAGCCCCATGACCAACAAAAACAAAAAACAAAAAAGAGGGAAGGGCATTTCTGAGGCCAGAATAACCTATAAGTAATCCATAAAGTATCACATTTTAATTTGTTTTTGGTCTGTGGTGGGGTTTGAACTCAGGGCCTGGGCACTGTCCCTGATCTCTTTTTGCTGAAGGCTAGTGCTTTGAGCCGCAGCACCACTTATGGTTTTCTGGTAGTTAAAAGGAGAAAAGAGTCTCAAGGACTGTCTATCCCAGGCTGGGTTTGAACCACAGTCCTCAGATCTCAGTCTCCTGAGTAGCTAGGATTACAAGCGTGAGCCACCCATACACAGCTTAAATATCTCATTTTGTGCCTCCAGTGTCCCTGGCCATTTGTCACTGACTTACACTGGGTCCCTCTCTGGCTTTGAGTTTCCCTCTCTGCACAATTAGGAGTTAGATAACAGCCGTTCAGGTGACTTGCAGAGGTTCAGGAGATGGAAAACGGTGATAAGGACAGCAAGCCAGAAGTCTGGGACACATTAGAGTACCATTTGTAGCATCCAGCCATGACTTCTGGGGTCTTCCAGATGACTCTGGTCACCTCCCATTCTCCCTTAATGCCTCATGGCCTTTATCCAGAGGCTGCTGGGTTCCGACAAGCCCCGGGGCAGTCCAAACAGCTGACCTGGAGTGGCAACTTGCCTGTGACAACTCCCCTTCTTCAAAGGGCATCTGTGCTCCAGGGAAGAGCCGCCCGAGTCAGCACAGTGTCCCATTGGGGCATGCTTTACCTGCCATTCTGTCCTGTCTGGGATCAAGGCAGAGGTCCTTAAGCCACTGGCCTTTGCAAAGGAAGAAAGGCACATTTCTGGGTGCCAGGATACCCTCAGTGTTCTCCATACACAGGCCAGACCCGGCTCCTCACAGTGAATCAGAGCAGCCTCTTAGAGGGGCCAGAGTGAGGCCCCCAAGCCCAGGGGAGCCAGCAGGCTGCAGAAGAGCCCAGCCTTCCCTCTTACAAACACATGATTCTCCACCCCTTTCCCACCGCCTTCATCTAAATAAATCCAGTCCATCTTGGCCACATCCGCAGCAGCAGCTTTCCTCCCTCGGGGTCCCAAGGCTCCCACGACATGAGCAGGCAGGGGAGGGGGCCCTGCAGTGCTGCCGGGGGAGCACATGCACGCAGGACAGACGCCTGCCCACGCACTCGTTCTCACGCTCCTCTGAAACACATGTGTGCGCAGCAGCTGCGTGCCCAGCCCCCACGCAGGCACTTGCCCTGTGTGTGCCCACACATGTGCACACAGCACAGACTGCTGCCGCCTGACGTTTTCGCCATGTGCACAGGGCTTTGCACTGACGAACGACGGAACATTCATGGCCCCACTACAGGACATGCACAGAACGTGTGCATACTGAACCCCAAATGCCTCCGAGCCTGACATGTGTGTGTGTGTGTGTGTGTGTGTGTGTGTGTGTGTGTGTGTGTGTGTGTGTGTGCAGACCAGCCAGAATGCTGTATGTTTGGAATTCTGAGCATTTGATATGTGTTGACACATTTGATCTTCTGTCAACTCTGAGCTATATACCATGATTATTGTTTTTCTCCATCTTTCTTTGTTTCCTTCCTTCCTTCCTTCCTTCCTTCTCTCCTTCCTTCTCTCTTTCTTTCTCCTTCTCTCTCTCTCTCTTTTTCTGGGGCTAGAACTCAGGGCCAGAGCACTGTCCCTTGGCTTTTTCACTCAAGGCCGGTGCTCTCCCATTTGAACCATACCTCTACTTCTGGCTTTTTGATGGTTAACTGGAAATAAGAGTTTCATGAACTTTTCTGCCCAAGATGATTTCGATTCTAAGATCTCAGCCTCCTGAGTAGTTAGGATTACAGGTGTGAGCCTTCAATGCCTGGCAACAATTTTTCATTTTATAGGTGGGAAAACTAAAGCAGAAAGCTGTTTGGAAACTTGCCCAGGAATGCAAGCCAGGGAAGGATAGAGCAGAGGCCAGAACGAGGCAGGGTGAGTCCACACTCCTGACAACTCCCTGCACCCCATCTCTGATCAGGCAGCTGACCACCGTGTTTGTCTGGTTGAGGTATGATGGAGCAGCATTGGTTGGAGACTGATGGGAACAGGTAGATTTGAGGTTTGTGTAGCTTAGAATCAACAGGACTTAGCCCGGTATCAGTGGCTCCCACCTGTAACCCTAGCTTCTCAAGAGGCTGAGATATGAAGATCAAGGTTCAAAGCCAACCCAGGCAGGAATATCTAAAAAGACTTATCTCCAACTAACCACTAAAAAGCCAGAAGT